GGGTCCTTTCGACTAGTTTGTTGTCGACTCGTCTGGTTTGAGTCGTCGAGTCTTGTCTTGTCTGTTTTGTTGTTGACTCGTCTGATTCGAGTCATCGCGTGTAGATCTCCTGTATCACCTTTTTTGGAGGAAGTCTATAGTTTTCTCATACTAGAATCTTTGAGCCTTTTTCAGACAATAAGAACTATATTGAGCACAACTTTATAACTCGGGAAAGCTCCACACATGATTTGCAGATGGTAGCATGACTAGATTTTCAATGACTTGCTGGAAAGTTCACTAGAAGTACAAGAAAGAGAGTGGCTTGTCATGTAGACTAATTTAATTAGACCAAATGGTTTGTGAGAAGGTTTACCCCAGTAATGGTGTAATTTGAACTGGTTAAATGAGGTTCAGTCTGCAAAATTCTCCTCTACGATGGGAATAACAAGTAAACAAAGAGGGGAAATTGTTGAATTTTACAGCACATGAAAAGTCTTCTGTCCAAGGGACAAACTAAGAACCGTTCTTTTGCATCATCAACAACTTCAGTTTGGAACACATTTACAAGCCAATGAGCAAAGTATTCTACCAATATATGACTCAGATCATTTCTAGTCAAAGGACCTCAGAAGTGTACTTTGCCACAGTCATTTCTAAAAACTGGTATGGATCATCTACTGGAAGCCCAAGCAACTTTGTAGTGCATGCAACTGGTGTTATCAGAAGTTGGTTCCGTAGTTCTTGACCCATTAGAGTGTTTTAATTCTTTTTCGACATGTCCTTACAAGTTCTGATTCTTAAACTTCTGTCTCATATTTCGAGGTAATGCGGCAGTTATTATTTGGTGTGTCTGAAAGTCATGATTAAACTAAGTGATTTTTACAAAAATTAACTGTATTTATTTGGCAAATTAGTAACCCTTCCTCGCCCTTGGAGAAGGAAGTCATATCCATGTTGGAAGAGTCAGACAAAAGTAATTTCTTTACGCTATCCCTCAGGAGGTCATCGGTCTTTATTGATTGCTTTAACTTTGAATAATATGTAAATACTTTCAAGGCTTTTCTTTGATGCAAGCTGAGCTATTTGAGATGTGGAAAGGCCTTACTACAGTTGTTAGATGCTTGTGCTGACATACTGATGATAACTGTGTATTATGTTTAAGCGTACAATGTAGCCAAATCATTGACGGTCTATATTTATAATAATGATGTTAAAGAAAAACTTGGACAAAAACGTACAAGTGCGATTCACTTTTTAAAGATTTATCATGTCTTGCTTTCCATTGGGAGGGAAGCTCAAAGAGTGGCGACACCATATTTTGTTCCCACCTTTAGTTTTGGTCAGTCCTCGTTTCGCTGCAACTGATGACATTGCTAATGTCTTTTGTTGTATTGGTATAATACGTCGGTCTCCTAAGCAAATTTGCATTTCTTCCACGCCCTTTTGATGAATGATTTATCTTGATGCTCTTTGAGAAAGAAGTTTATGCTGATGCACTTTTTCTGAAGTTTTGCTGCTAATGTTCCAGCAATACATGGCCCGTCTTCTTTCTCATGGACAGCTCGAGGATGGAAGTGGATAGAATTTAGTGCTTTTTTTCTTCCACCCATGCTGCGCATGACAGCAAACAAGAAGGCGTCAAGTCAATATGTACAAAATTCAAGGTCTCGTTTGTTGACAATTTGGAAGTCGTGACATGTTCAAGCTCTTTTGGTCAATTTAAACAAGCCATAGTGACTGCTATTATTATTATTTCCCTGGATACCTTGTTGAAGCCTGAGGTGATAAGCTTGATAAGTTTCACAAAGAAGCTTAAACATTCTCTTCTCATCTACTGTTGATCAATTGAGGCTGATTACATTAAAAGTTCGTTCGTGTTATCTTTGCACTTCTCTGTCAGATGTAATCAGGAATTGATGGTTCATGTCTTTCTTTCAAAACAAAGTCAACATTTCATTATGAAAAGAAATGAAGTTTGTTTGCGTATCTTTCTTTCAGTTGTTTTCATATCTTTCTTTCAAAACAAAATTGGCATTTTTTTGTGAAAACAAATGAAAGTTTGTTTTTGGCTAAGAAGTCGGAGCACTTGGCTGTTTGTGTGATTTGCTTACTGTTAGACTAGTGTCTAGTTACAGTCAACAAAAAGTACATTTAAAAAAAGATTAACTCGCATCTGGTTGCCGTTCTTTTATCCTACGCAAAGCCATTGTTGTGGCTTCTACTTTCCATTTTTCAGAGTAGGATTATGAGAGCTGCTGATCATCTCATACTGAATTGGACAGTAATTTTTTTCAAAATGTACCATGATTTTTGGGACAATTAATTGACGTTTATGCGTGTGAGATGATGCAAGTCATATTCCATTTGAATGGCAGAGATTCCAAAATAATAATAATGCTCGAAATTCAAGATGGTGTTTTTTCTTCAAACAGTGCTATATTCACAAAACATGTTTATAATCTCGTCCTTTTTTTGCTATATTCACAAAACATGTTTATATTCACAAAACAGTCCTTTTTTTGCTATATTCACAAAACATGTTTATAATCTCATGTGAGGTCCGGTGCACTGTAACAAATAAGAGAGGGGGTGTGGTTGAGGTTGTGGTTGGGGATGTGCCCTAGTGCCACACCAAAGACAAACCCTACCATCATAGCTATAGTATCTACCGCCACGCCAGAACTTAAATGGCTCCATGTGAGCAAAAACATCAAAAAAAAAAAAAAAAAACACCCAGAATACAGGAAGTTGATAACATGCTTTTCTTCTCTTATTGAACAAAAAAAAAAGAGTCGGGGAAAAAAAAGTGAAATAGAATGCAGGAAAGAAGATTATGACTTCCAGTTTTTTAGTAGAGGTTCCATATTCCACCTTTTTGGTGTGTTGGATGATAGGTCTTCAAAATTTATTATTTACTATGAGTTAATTGCAAACAGACCCCCTTTAGTATTACCCAACTGCAAAGAGACCGCTTGTAGGTCTATTTGTTGCGAATAGACCCCTTATAGTTCTACTTGTAGTGAATAGACAGACCTCTATAATATTGGGCCAAGTGCGAGTACACCCCCTTAGTGAATTTTTTATCTTTTTTAAGTTAAAAAAATGAGAAATTGGATGTTTATCCTTACCAATAGAACTATAGGGGTCTATCCGCCTCCTCAAACATTTTTTTCAGTATTTAAGAGGAAAATAAATTCACTCGAGGGGTCTATTTGCAAGCGGGCTACTCTTTGAAATATATCAGGTTTGACTGACAGAAATGACGCAAACCTTCTTCGCCCTATGGAGAAGCTATCAGTGGAGATCCAGGAGTTGATATTGCCGAAGTGTTGAAGAAGGGAAACACCTCGTACCTCAGCATGCAACTTCCTGATAGATATCGCCACCCGTTAGTTTGGTTGCACTGAGCACCAACTTGGCTCAACCCGGTTTCTAAGCAGTTCTTGCAGCCTTCACTATTAAGATCTCTTGTGCACTGCAACAAAACATAGCTCGACGACTGACTAGTAACTGACTCTTCTCCACTGGCAACCATCAGTGGATTATTCGAGGCTTGCTCCACGAGGCCCCTAGCAAACTTGATCGTCTCATCACTGGCAGCTTGACTGATCTGCCGAACCCCACATAGAGTCTGCCCAGCCAAATCCACCACCCCGAAGAAGCTGCTGTCGGAATATCTCATGAGGCATTTCTCGTACCATTTGATCCCTTGTGTGTTATTCGGGCAGTCTCCTATTATGGTTCCCCTAGCATTGGCGAGGCATGTATTGCAATCGTTACTGGGTGGGGTGAGGTCCCCCCGGCAGAGGGCTAGGCCGTAGAGCTGGTCTGGGTTCTCTCCAACAGTGGTGTTATAGAAACCGCTCGTCTGAGCATTGGTTGTCAGAATTTGCAGAAGATTGTTGAGATTTGATTCGACTATTGCAAGACTATTTGATGGGAAAGTGGAGTCTGAACAGCTATATTGAGTGATCTCTGTGGGAGTTCCATTCAAGTTTTTAAGGAAAGGTGTGGACTCGTACCTCACCCAGCAGCTAGTCGCCAAGTACCGCCACCCCCTCCATTGCGTGCAGCAATTCTTGATATCAGCCAATATCGTTGTCAGGCACTCTCTGCAGCCATCGACGCCAAGGTCAACAGTGCACTGAGCGAGCGCATAAATATTGTCGTCGTCGTTCACCAACGCCTTCGAGGCAAACATTAGCGGTTTGTTGAGCGGTGCGGCCTTCACGAGGTCAGCCACAACTGCAAACGGCTCTCGAGAGCTCGTCTTTTGGTTGGGATTGCTCATGCTGAATCCAGCTGTGTCGGGGATGCCGAAGAAGTTGAAGTCGGAGTAACGGAGTTCGCAGCTATCATACCAAATGACGGCCTGGCGTGATGTTGGACAGCTGTGTTGAATTAATCTTGTAACGTTATCCATTTCATATGTTAATTAGTTGGTTACTTAGTGGGTTAAGTTTTTAGTTAGTTAGTTACAGGTTTCTTGTGCACGTTGTGCACGTTTGTAAGTTAGCAAACTGCTTTGTATTTGTATTTAAATTTGACAGTAATGTATGTGTGTTGTAATTAACACCTGAAAACTATTTTTCTTTCCTCTTCTAAAGTGTGTGTGTGCTTCCAGTAATTGTAGAATCAATTCCATCATTTGGTATCAGAGCTTGTTTGGGATTGAATGCCAAAAATTATGCCTGCGGACGCAACACCATCAAGCAGCGGATCTGGCAACACAGTGACGCTGAAGACAATTGGAAGAGAAGGGACAGTCTCTCTTCAGTACCCATTGCTCACGAAGAGCAATTACTCAGCATGGGCACTTAAGATGAAAGTGTATTTGCGTGCACAAGGTGTATGGGATGCTATTGAGCCTGCAGACCCCAATGACGAGGTAGAGATGCGGAAAGATCAGATGGCTCTTGCTGCCATCTATCAAGCCATCAGCGAGGAGACACTTCTTGTGTTAGCTGAGAAGGAGACGGCCAAGGAAGCATGGGAGATGTTGAGGACAATGCACATGGGCGCTGAGCGTGTCAAGGAAGCAAAAATTCAGACTCTGAGAAGTGAGTTTGAGGGTCTTCGCATGCGTGAAGCGGAGACAGTTGATGATTTTGGTGCAAAGTTAACCACCATTGTCAATAAGATTCGTGCATTGGGCGACAAGATAGATGAGGCCTATGTCGTCAAAAAGCTTCTTCGTGCAGTCCCTCCCAAGTTCCTTCAAATTGCATCCACCATTGAACAATTTGGAAATCTCAACACGATGACAATTGAGGAGGTCATCGGATCGCTCAAGACTCATGAAGAACGAGTGCGGAGTTATGGTGACAATGAGGATGAACACGTTCTGTTGACAAGTGCAAAGTGGAAAGGGAAACAAGTGAAAGGAGAGAGCTCGTCCAATTCATATAAAGGACGAGGAACGAGTAGTGGACGTGGTCGTGGCCGTGGGTGTGGCCGTGGTCGTGGTCGCGGGCACGGTGAAGGTGGTCGATGGAATGAATCAAATCATCGTGAGAGAAAGTTCGACAAGTCCAAGGTAAGGTGCTACGCTTGTCAAAACTATGGGCACTTTGCCTCGGAATGTCGATCTAAGAAGAAGGAGGAAAAGGCACACTTTGTGGAGGCACAAGAGGATGATGAAGAACCAGCACTCTTAGCGACGGAAATTTGTGAGTGTGAGAATCATAAGGAGATCACAACAGAGGAAGTGATGCTCTATGAGGAGAAAGTGAAGCCAAAGTTGAATGAAGGAGAAGAAGTGGTGCACGACAACTCTGGTTGGTTTCTTGACACTGGAGCAAGCAACCACATGACGGGTTGCAAGGAGCTGTTTTCAGAACTAGATGAAAGTGTGACTGGGAAGGTCAAGTTTGGCGATGGCTCTGTTGTGAACATTCGAGGAAAGGGCACTGTGATGTTTCAGTGTCAAAATGGTGAGCATCGACTCTTTACAAATGTTTATTTCATACCTAGATTGCGTAGCAATATAGTGAGTCTAGGTCAATTGGATGAGAATGGATGCAAAACTGTAATAGAAGATGGATGTTTGTTGGTGTATGATAGAGCTAGAAAGCTGCTGGCGAGAGTAAGAAGATCAAGGAATAGATTGTATATTCTAAATTTGAAGACAACTCACTCAGTGTGTTTAATGGGGAAGTTAACTGAAGTTGAATGGTTGTGGCATGCCCGTTATGGCCATTTAAATTTCCAGGCATTGAGGAACATGACGAAGAAGGGAATGGTGACAGGAATGGCTGTCATTGATCATGTAATGCAAGTGTGTGATGGGTGTGTGGTGGGAAAACAACATCGCACATCATTTCCCCATAACTCAAGCTTTCGGGCTGATAAACCACTTCAACTTGTGCACTGTGACCTGTGCGGTCCAATTTCTCCAACGACTCTAGGAGGCAATAAATATTTCATGCTTGTGTTTAATTGGGAAGTTAACTGAAGCTGAATGGTTGTGGCATGCTCGTTATGGCCATTTAAACTTTCAGGCATTGAGGAACATGACGAAGAAGGGAATGGTGACAGGAATGGCTGTCATTGATCATGTAATGCAAGTGTGTGATGGGTGTGTGGTGGGAAAACAACATCGCACATCATTTCCCCATAACTCAAGCTTTCGGGCTGATAAACCACTTCAACTTGTGCACTGTGACCTGTGCGGTCCAATTTCTCCAACGACTCTAGGAGGCAATAAATATTTCATGCTGATTGTAGATGACTTCAGCAGATATATGTGGGTCGAGATTTTGAGAAGCAAGGATGAAGCATTCGCTGCTTTCAAGAAGATAAAGGCAGGAGCAGAAATGGAATCAAATTCAAAGCTCCAAGCCCTGCGGACAGATAGGGGTGGCGAGTTTACGAACACCGCATTCAATGAGTATTGTGAGCATCTGGGCATCAAAAGATACCTTACAGCACCATATTCCCCTCAACAAAATGGTGTCGTCGAGCGTAGAAATCAAACTGTTGTGAACATGGCTCGAAGCTTACTAAAGAGCAAACATGTTCCATCAGAATTCTGGGCTGAAGCTGTGAAGACAGCAGTGTATATACTCAACAGAGCTTCGACAAAAAGTGTGGAAGGTGCAACACCTTACGAGAAATGGACTGGCCACAAACCCAAGGTACATCATATGAGAGTGTTTGGTAGTTTAGTGCACGTAAAGACTGTAAAACCACACATGAAGAAACTAGATGACAGGAGCGTGCCAATGGTGTTCTTGGGGTATGAACCAGGCTCAAAGGCATACAGGGTTTATGATCCTAATGCAAAGAAATTGCATGTAAGCAGGGACACAATATTTGAGGAAGATAAGGAGTGGAATTGGGAGTCTGTACAAGGAGAAGGAAGATTTGGAGCTCACTCACATGACGTGTTCACCGTACACTATGAACATGAGCCGGCTGGGAGTGTACAAAACACGGTTGATCATGCAGGTGAGAATGTTGAAAATACACCAGTATCTGTGAAATTTTCTGGAGGTGCAGCAGCGAATTCTGGAGGTGCAGCAGCGAATTCTTCTGGAGGTGCAGCAGCGTCGTCTCACTCCTCATCGGGACATGATCAGTTGGAAGAGACAGCAGATCATTCAGCAAGCTCAGAGAGACCACGTAAGTATCGTTCTCTACAAGAGGTATACAATGATACAGTTGAGGTGGATGTAGAAGCAGGTCTATGTTTCCTATCTATTGATGAGCCAGCAAGTTTTGAAGAAGCAGCAAGCAATGAAAACTGGAGACAAGCCATGGCCGAAGAAATTGCAGCCATTGAAAGGAATAATACATGGGAATTCGCAGAATTACCAGAAGGACATCGAGCTATTGGTTTGAAATGGGTATACAAGGTGAAGAAAAATCCTGAAGGAGAGATAGTAAAACACAAAGCTCGACTCGTGGCGAAGGGATATGTACAAAAACAAGGAGTGGATTTTAATGAGGTGTTTGCTCCGGTTGCACGATTAGAAACTGTAAGGCTCTTAATTGCTTTGGCAGCACAAGAGAGCTGGGAAGTACACCACATGGATGTAAAATCTGCATTTCTAAATGGCGAGCTAGAGGAAGAAGTGTATGTAGCACAGCCAGTTGGATTTGAAGCCAAAGGCCATGAGGGACAAGTGTTGAGGCTGAAGAAGGCATTATATGGATTGCGTCAAGCACCTCGAGCATGGAATTCAAAACTTGACAAATGCTTACAGTCACTCGGATTCATCAGGTGTCCTATGGAGCATGCTGTGTACAAGAGAACACTGGGGGGTGAAATCCAAGTGATTGGTGTTTATGTGGATGATCTTATCATCATAGGGTCAAGTGTCGAACACATTGTGAAATTCAAGGAACAGATGAAGAAGGTGTTTGATATGAGTGATCTTGGCTTATTAAGCTATTATTTAGGCATTGAGGTGAAACAAAACTTACACACCATCACATTGTCCCAATCAATGTATGCACTGAAGATATTAGAGAAACTTGGGATGGCCGAATGCAATCCCTGTCAAATTCCCATGGAACCAAGACTTAAAATGAGTAAACTGAATGTCAGTCCTCCAGTTGATGTTTCTTTGTATAGAAGTGTCATAGGGAGTTTGAGATATCTAGTTAATACAAGACCTGACATAGCCTACTCAGTTGGAGTGATGAGCCGATACATGGAGGCGCCATCGACAACTCACATGACTGCCGTGAAGCAGATATTGAGGTATGTACGAGGCACTCTAAATTTTGGGTGTTGCTATGACAGGAAGAAGCCTTTGGGAGAATGCTTGATTGGGTACAGCGACAGTGATCTGGCTGGAGATATTGATGATCGAAAGAGTACAACGGGAGTTATCTACTTTCTTGGTGGAAATCCAGTCACGTGGCTGTCACAGAAACAGAGGGTGGTAGCACTCTCCTCATGCGAAGCTGAATATGTGGCCGCTACGGCAGCAACATGTCAGGGCATTTGGCTTGGGCGATTGTTGAGTGAAATTAAGGGAGGTGAACCTGTCAAAGCTGTCCTCAATGTAGACAACAAATCAGCCATTGCTCTCACGAAGAATCCTGTGCATCATGACAGAAGCAAGCACATTGATATCAAGTATCATTTTATTTGTGACTGTGTTTAAAAGGAAGAAATTGAAGTGGTGCATGTGAAGACTGAGGAGCAATTGGCTGACATCCTGACGAAACCACTTGGTCGACAGAGATTTGTCGAGCTGCGTGAGAAGATAGGACTGAAGGATGTGAAACAAGTTGCAACAAGATTAAAGGGGTGAATGTTGAATTAATCTTGTAATGTTATCCATTTCATATGTTAATTAGTTGGTTACTTAGTGGGTTAAGTTTTTAGTTAGTTAGTTACAGGTTTCTTGTGCACGTTGTGCACGTATGTTGAACAGCTGTTGGTGGTGATCGCAGTGGCAGCAGCCCTGACACATGTCTGGCAGTCTGACCCGGCAAGGTCGCCTTGGCACATGAAAAGACCGTATACATGGTCCGAACTGTTTCTGGTTGTAACGTTGGAGACGGCGGAGTTGGATGACGACGACTTGGCGGTGAGGGAGGAGAGGACGGCGGCGAGGCTGGTGGCGAAGGGGCTGTTTTTGGTGTAGGACAGGCCCGTGCAGTTTGCCTTTCTGGGTTGGAGGATGGGGTTGTCAGCGGCGGAATGGAGGAAGAGGAGATGGAAGATTAGGAGGGAGGTTAGACCTAATCTTGGATTATTAAACCATAAAAGATTCTGGAGCACCATTTTTCTTAATGGTTGTTTTGAGGTTTGAGCGATTCTTAGAGGCATAGGGGCGAGTGTTCTTTTTTTTTTTTTTTTACATAGAGCGCGGTTTGAATGGTCTAAAGAGATCTTCTCCGTAGTGGGGGTAAAGCGGCACATGCGGCGATGTTTCCTTCCCTAGTGGAAGTCAAAATTAGTGACAAGACAAGTCAGGTCTTCCCCAGTGGAAGTCAAAATTGGTGACAAGATAAGTCTTTCATGAATTATCTAAAGTTTGATTCTCAAAGTTAGTGTGAAAAAGAGGTTATGCATTTTGTTGCTCCGTATGCTTAACCACTTACAAAAATAATATAACAGGATATAGAAAATATAGCAATTTACATCGTGAAGTAAACGTTGGATATAAACATAAGGACAAAATTTTAAAATAGACACCTCTAGAAAATTATTTTTAAAAAACAACCTTTTTTAAAAATATTTGCTATTTTTGACCCAGTTTCAGCCACCTGGTTGAAACTGGGTCGAAACTGGTGAAAAAACACCAAAAACTTTATGGAATTTTAAATCCCGTAAAATTTAAGGTCTCATTTAAGGCCTCATTAGCGCTAACCCAAATGCTAATGATGCTTTAAATTTCATGGGATTTAAAATCCCGTGAAGTTTTTGATGTTTTTCGTCATTTTCAACCCAACTTCAGCCAGGTAGTTGAAAATGGGTCGAAAATGACAAATATTTTCAAAAGGAATCGTTTTTTGAAAATAAGTTTCTAAAGTGGTCTATTTTGAAAATTTGTCCCCAACATAATTTCATGGAGTTCTTTGAGACGAGTGATGTTGAAACTGGATGGGTTAAAAAATAGATGGGGCAAAACTCTGGCTTTGGAAGTTCAAGATTAATTCAATGGAGTATTTTTGGTTTATAAAGAAAAACTACCTTTAGTGAGGTAAATTTAGAAATAAATGGGGGCTAAGACTTAGATTTGTAGGCTGTGAAAAATTTGTGGGGTGGGGGGGGGGTGGCTGAGCAGGGGTCGGCTTAGGCCTAGCAACCAAAGCAATATACGTATATATATACTAATACTATAATATATATATATTAATAAATATTATAAGTATAAGTATATAATATATATATAACTAATAATACTAATATATATTATAAGTATGCTATGGGTGCATATTCCAATTTTCTATGATATATATATATGATATATAATAACTAATACTAATATAGAATATTATAATATGAATATATATAATATAAGTAGTAATAATGCATACTATATATAAAGTAATATACTATATATATATAATATAATATATATATATAATAGAAATGGGATAATGCACCGCAAGCATATACATAATTATATATATATATATATATATATATATATATAATATATATATATATATATATATATATATATAGCTTGGGTGCATATCCATTTCTAATATGATAATATATATAATATATATATTATTAAGATATATAATAGTATATATAATTATATATAATATATATATATATATATATATATATATATATAATATATATATAGACAGAGAGAGAGAGAGAAGAGAGAGAAGAGAGAGAAATGTGTATCGCTTTTGGTACCAAGCACAAAAAAAGTTATGCTTGCCTATGAGGTGACATATCCCCCCATCCACATCATCTCATAGATGAGTTGGCATATCCTATATCACTCCTAAACCATGTAAATTGTGGATTGTGATCCGCTCCTAAGGAATAGTGTATTCCTAAGACCATCTTAATACATCTCAACCTTTGATTTTGTGTATGAGCACAAAAAACGAAGGAGGTCCTATGCAATGATAGGTTGACGAATGGCATTAGGAGATCTTAGGACAACATCTATTGCCTTAGAGAGAGGATCACCAATCCTGTGAAAATGTGGTTCCGCATTTGGAATTAGTTGGAGTGGATTGTACCATCTCACTACCAAGCACAAAATTTGTGTTTGGTACCAAGCATACCCATATTTCCCAGATATATATATATATATATATATATATGAGAAATATGTGTATGCTTGGTACCAAGCACAAATTTTGTGCTTGGTAGTGAGAGGGTATAATCCCCTCCACTCATTCAAATGAGAGACCACATTCACATGGGTTGAGTAGTGCATGGGGATGTGTAACCATTTGAATTAGTGGAGGGGATTATGCCACCTCCAGTGGAAGTCAAAATTAGTGACAAGACAAGTCAGGTCTTCCCCAGTGGAAGTCAAAATTGAAGACAAGATAAGTCTTTCATCACCATTATTATTTGAGAGGTGCTACGGGCACACTCTAAGGCACACCACCAACCACACACATTCTCTCTATAATGCAGGAGGCCCCACATGTGATTTTTTTTAAAAATCACATGTGGGGCCTCCTGCACTATAGAGAGAATGTGTGTGGTTGGTGGTGTGCCTTAGAGCGTGCCTCTATCATTTCTTTTATTTTTTTAACTAAAATGGGTCTTGGTTAGAATAATCTAAAGTTTGATTCTCAACGTTAGTGTGAAAAAGAGGTTATGCATTTTGTTGCTCCGTATGCTTAACCACTTACAAAAATAATATAACAGGATATAGAAAATATAGCAACTTACATCGTGAAGTACACGTTGGATATAAACATAAGGACAAATTTTTAAAATAGACACCTCTAGAAAATTATATTTAAAAAACGACCCTTTTTAAAAATATTTGCTATTTTTGACCCAGTTTCAGCCACCTGGCTGAAACTGGGTCGAAATTGGTGAAAAAACACCAAAAACTTTATGGAATTTTAAATCTCGTAAAATTTAAGGTCTCATTTAAGGCCTCATTAGCGTTACCCAAACGCTAATGAGGCCTTAAACTTCATGGGATTTAAAATCCCGTGAAGTTTTTGATGTTTTTTGGTCATTTTCAACCCAACTTCAGCCAGGTAGTTGAAAATGGGTCGAAAATGGCAAATATTTTCAAAAGGGATCGTTTTTTGAAAATAAGTTTCTAAAGTGGTCTATTTTGAAAATTTGTCCTCAACATAATTTCATGGAGTTCTTTGAGACGAGTGATGTTGAAACTGGATGAGTTTCAAAATAGATGGGGCAAAACTCTGGCTTTGGAAGTTCAAGATTAATTCAATGGAGTATTTTTGGTTTATAAAGAAAAACTACCTTTAGTGAGGTAAATTTAGAAATAAATGGGGGCTAAGACTTAGATTTGTAGGCTGTGAAAATA